ATCTATCTATCTATCTATCTATCTATCTATCTATCTATCTAGATCTAGATAGATAGTCTGTCTGTTCTATGCACTACATTAGTACTACATTATTACTACTTAAGAATTAATAGCTTAATCATGTGCATTGTTCTGTTCTAGTGTTACCAAGGACTACTGGGTTTTCTATGGGGTTAACACAAAACTCTTCCAGAGTGGTTCAGAGTTAAAGATTAAGACACCAATTGCTGTTCCATGGAAGTTATCCACCAAGATAAATGTACCGGAAAAGAAGTTCGAGCTTGACTTTCCTCGTAGCAAGGAGGAAATTAAACTTTTCTCAATGAGGTAATTATTAAATATTGATTAGGGTACTGACTGAATTTAATAATTCAAGGAAGATATGACTATATTTTCCACATTGATCATGATGGAATTGAAAAATTCCATCATTCTTTTTTTGGTTCCTTACCATTTAAATGTCTTCTGCATATCCTGCATCCATCTTTGATGTGTTGGATTTTTGTGCTGCATCTTTATGTTTGTTTCACACAGATCAGATGTGTATGCAGTGTCAAGAAACATTGAAGAGCCAGATTCTCCTAAAATCACCCCAATAATGTCTCCATCTACTGACCCCAGTGATGATGTAAAACATAAGTCACAGCAGATATTATTCAGTGCTTTTGTAATAATAAGATGCATATTAATAGAAGCAGATTCAGTTTGTTGTAATTAATATTTTTCTCTAACAGGTACTGAAACCAAACACCTGGCATCCTACGTCCAGAATGTGTTATGAGTGCAACATCTATGGAGTTGGTCTTTGCATGGAGTATGAGTTAAGGAGACAGTATTACCATGAGGAATACCCACTTTACTATTTTCTCGGATACAGCCACATGGCAATCAAAATAGCTCAAGGTGTGTAATTGTGTTTTTAAAATTACAAATATTGCATGGTGTATGTAGCCTGTATGGTGGTGCAGTATGTGGTACTGTTGCCTTACAATAAGAAAGTCCTTGTCTGGATCCCAAGCCGAGG